GCTTTGCCTGAAAGGATCAAGCTGCCTTAAAACAAAGCAGGTTAACTTAAAAAATATATAAAATGTTAAAGAGTGAGCTTTAGGCAGGCTGGTGGACATGTATTGTTAAATGGGGCGATACAGCAGGGCTCCAACCAGCTCATTAGAAATGAAAAAACAAAAAAAAAAAATCACTTAAAAATTGGCTGAAAGTTCAGTACAGACCTGTCTCCACAAACATATCAGAATCATAATCAGCATACTTTATTATTCTATAAGGAAATTATGTGGGTTAGAGTTGCTCATATATAGAGATTGACAGACCATGTGACTTTCGCGCATTGCATGCCGGTAACTCGAGGCAAAACAATCCAAGTATCACATCAAATGCAAGCATTTGCAGCACCGCAAAACGTTCATTCTCCGGTTCCAATACCTTCTTGCTTTTTCTTTGCCCCCCAAAAACGTTATGTACAAAACGAAGGACAACAATGCCGGACCGTACAAAGACAGACTTGATGAAAAGTCAAAGAAAAGATACGAGGACAAAATCAAAGGAGTGAAAGGGTTAGACCCTTACGAGCACACAGAGTGGACAAAAGACGTTATGCTGCCCAACTTTCACCATGCTCATATTTATAATTATACGGTTCTTGGAGTGAGTGCATACACTCATGAAGTTTAGTAACTTCAGGTCACTGCAACAAGCCCAAGTACACTTTACCGACAGATGGGTACAGGACCTTGAAATGCACCGTGTAGAACGAAAGACCATCGTACGTATCATAAGTTTACCAGTCTCACAAATCGTCTTCATAAATACAAATTCGTTAACCGTTTATTAATAGGACCTCTGAGCTCATTAGTAATTAATTAGTAGTGGAAATCATTTCTGTTTCGCGTTACAGAAATGTAGCAGTGACAATAATATTGTATGCTGTAATCGTACTGGGCAATTAGTGATACAAAAAAACCTGTTTTATCCTGTGAATAAAAGTATATGTTTTTGTCAATGTACCATGGTAATAACAGAAGCGAAACGCAATATTGTGTCAGGACAATTCACTATTTATGCACAATAAACAAAGGAGCATAGCGCGACAATTTCTGTTCAACGCCAGACTTGCTTGTAACCTATATCACCAATTATGTTATGAAAAATGACGTATTAACTACAACAGAAGACTGACCTTTGTGGAAATGCTCGGAGCAGACTAACCTGTGAGCTGGATGTTCTGGGACGTTACATTTGGTCTTTGAATGGCTGCAATCCAGGCCATTCGTCGCTCTCTCTTTTTACTTCAGAAACATGGCTCGAATAATTTCTCTTCAACGACGTAATCCGATAAAAACCGATCTCTTTACCCGTCGGCTTCCCGTGGCTGTCATGCGACCGGCTATTGCAGTTAATAATACAACCGCTTCTTGACAGTTTTTTGTGTTTCTTTTTATCGCTGTGTAACTGATTTCAATTGAAAGCCTGCGTGCGCTAGTACCTCTTGCCACGAGTTCCCAGAATTCTTTGCGGTTTTACCCTTGAATGACGTCACATTTTCAATCTCTATTAAAGAGATGTAGCTGCCCTGTTACACTGGCATGCACCACCCTTTAGCCCTTGCTTTGGACTGGAGTGGGCATTAATTTTCCCAAAAGGTGG